CTAAAAGAGAATAAAAATCTCTTTTATAATGCGTTATTGAAAAACTGATAATGAAGCCAAGTGAAAGAAAGAAAACACACAGCTTTTTTTGCGCAAAAGAAAGTGACAGAAACAGTGATTAAGAACACAAAATTTTTTTAATTGGTATTTCAATACTTAATAAACATTCGGTCAATTCTTTTTCTTCTAATTTTACTTTTTTAATATTGTTATTATTTTGTGTGTCTTCGCCATGGTATAAGAAACTTCAAAATTAATGAAAAAAAAATATAATTTTTACGTAAAGTTTTCATGAAAAGTCAAAAAAAAAAAACGAAATTAATAAGAAGCGAATTGAAACAAAAAAAATTTAAGAGATATTTTTCTTTTATCCTTCAGGATAACTAGAGCATTTTCCATAAAATTTTATAATTAAAAAAGTTTTACGTTTTTTGATAAAATTGAAAAAAAACTCATTTTTTTTTCAAATTGATAAGGGTATAAATTATCATGACACACTAAGCACAAGGATAATTATTCCAAAATAAAGACAAACAAAAATAATTTTGCAAGAAATTTTTTCGTTTATTTTTTTTTTATTTTATTGGAGATTATGGTTGTAATACGCTTGTAATCTTATACTTTTCTTTAAATTAATATTTGTAATAATAAATTTTTTGGAACTCATTTTCATATAAAACTTTGATGAAAATGCCACATTAAAGAAACTTTTTTATATATAAATGTTAAAAAAAAGTTTATAGAAGACAAAAAGAGTTAAAGTAAAAAAAAACTATTGTGTAAAACTTTTTGATTACATAAATATTTTCTTCTCTATCACCAGATAATATAAGTGACAAAATGATTTTCTTTTCCCCTATATAGGAAAAATCTGTAATTCGACCTTTCAATGTTAAACTCAATATTTTATCATTTTATGCATCTTTTAAATAAGATTTTGACGTTATAATGTTGTAAAGAGTTGAAGGGTAACGTGGGGTAAATACAAACAGAAGTAATTGGTGCTTTAAAACATGCTTCGTAAAAAATTTTAGGCTCCAATACCATGTAAAATATTTTTATTTTATGGTATTTTATAAAAAAAATGTTTGCTTTTTTATACTAAATTTTAGAGCAAAACCAATAAATTTACACTTTAGTGCTGAAAATTCTATACTTCTTTATTAATAATTGGGTTCCAGTAATATAGGACGTTTCTAAAAAAATATAGTCGATTTTTCTCTACCCGATTTACTTTTATTTACATACATGCTATACTACATAAGCATTTTTGAACATTGTACAATGTTGGAAGATTAAATTTTTTTAAATGTGGTACTTTTTAAAGTCTACGTTTTGAAAGCATTTTTATAGTGCAAATACCGCCTGTCAAAGAAAAGTCATTAATCCCAGAATTAACATTTATTTGTTAAAATTGCAATTGGCTTCTTATTTTACCAGTTTAAAGTTGTAAACAATGATTGAACAATGATGGACAATGTTGATTCGTTTTTGCTGGCCAAAGGCATTAGTTTCAAAAAATGTTGTTGGAAAATCATTAAAATATTTTTAATTTTAAAAATTCATTACACAATTTTAAAATCGTTTTCATCTTGAATTATACCTTAATTTTATATATGTAACCTTTTCTATATGTAAAATTTAATTGAATGCCAGAAAATATCCTGAAAAACGTGACTTAAAATCAAACGCAAAATGCCACTTGTAAATGGAACGCATAAAAAAGTTCTCCTTTGGTCCTAATGTACTGTTTAATACTGTGAATTAAGACAAAAAAAAAATTACACAAATTTCAAATACGATCTTACTTTGTTTGATTGCAAGATCTCATGATCTGTAATTTGAAAACTTACACAACTAACTTTTAATTGCCTCTACTGTTATTGTAAAGTACGAATGTGCCTGGTAATTAAAGTACTCCTTCGCATAAACTGAAAAACAAATATAAATGCAAGTCTAATGCATAATGTTACACATATTACATGCATCTATTTATCTTAATATCAAAGCTAATAAAAAATTTACACCTATATATGCACATATTTATAAATCTTTTTATTTTACTTCCGGTTTATACGCCAAGAAAAATGTATTTGAAATAATTTTTTCAAATAACGTTATTTGAAAAAATATAACAAAAATTTTATCGCAAATTTATACTTTCAAATATTGCAATAAATAACTCAATTTGTGCATAGTTGATGTTGCATTTAACCAATTTTCTTTATGTATATAACTTCTGACAATATTGAATGCTATAAAGGAGAAAAAACTGTTATAAACATATAAATATTTAATTTTTAATATCTCACATAACTTAACTTTATTTTCTATTTCTGCTGTTCTCTTCTGTGACTTAACCAATTTTTTACACAACAACTATTTTTTTTTTGCCTGCATTTTCTTGTTAAAGTTTAAAAAAATTATAAGGATTTTCAAAACAGGAACCAAAGTATATACGTGATAGTGAAATCCTTAGTTCAATTAAATGATAAATCACTACATTTTGTCCTCTGAGAAATTCTTTAGATATTTTTTGTCCTTTTTTTTTTTAAATAAGACCATAAAATTGATTTTTTCTTTTTTATTTTTTTGGTATCATAAAAATTTCTTGATAATATAAAATAAAACTTAAACTTAATCTAAGAGATGTTAAGTTTAATTTAAGGAATTTGCAAAAGCAAACTTTCCTTGATAATAGTTTCTTTTGTAATATCAAAATTCATCATTGAAATGTCAGTATATCATTTAAAATATTAAAATTCAACCATAAACATATATCCTAATGTTGCAGTAAAATTGGAATTTAATTAGAATAATAGATTATATTACAATGTTATAGCAAAAAGCTCGAACACTTTAAACACTTATTATACGAACACTTTAAAGCTCTCAACTTTATGATTTTTTCTAAGAGAAATAATAAAAAGTTGTTATTTACTTAGCTTTTTAAAATGTACCGTATTTCCTTCAAATTTCCATTACTCAAACTTTTAACTTGATGACACTAACATTGACCCTGGCTAGTCAATTCGTACTTTGCAACCTCTCAAAAATTACTCTTTACGATTTGACGCTTTATACATTATATCAAAATATACTTATGCACAAAAATTAAAATTTCAATAACAACTTTAAGTTTCAGTGATTGTATAGGGTAAAAGTATTGACAATTTTTCGCATATATTTAAACAAAACCAAACTTTCTTCATTTATTATTATTAGGAAAATCTAGAATTTCATTCTCAATAAGAAACAATTATTAAGAAAATAATATCGTAAAACATAATGGGGAAAATTAAAGAAAAAAAAACCTCGATAGCTTTGGTATGTACAAATATAGTACATATAATATTTTTCTTGCATTCTATATAGTGGCAGTAGAAAAACTATATTTGAATAAGGAGAAAAAAACGATAAATTTATTTTTATTCTATTACTAGAAATACTAATAATAAAATATGCTTTTTAAAATCATTTATTGCTAGGGTCTTTTACCATTGTTTGTTGTTCTCAAATTATTTTTAAGTTTCTCTTACAAATTATGAAAAAAACACAGAATAATTTAACAAAAGTGATAGAGTTGAAGGCTAAAAGACTATTTTATTTAGTCATAAAAACAAGAGACAATATTATGTGTGTACTTTAAATCTTCGTTACTTTTGAAAGCAAATAATAACAAACTCAACTGGTCCATGTACAAATCACGTTTAGAACTAAATAAATGTACAGGGCTTGACATATACCTTAGTCACAAATACTGTTTGTAAAAGTTACATACACATAAATGTCTACAGTTTAAGAAAATATACAATTAACCTTTACTGTCATACGGGAAATGTCGCGAAATAGATAAAGATCGTATAAAATTGATTGTGCACACGTTTTTGAAAATTCAGACAGCGTTAAGTCATTGTATTAAATTTTGGATGACTTCTGGTAAAACGCATTTTTTTTTATGCATTTGCTAATAATTTAATATTGTGAACATTTGGATTGAGACACCCGCACAAATGTCCTTAAATACTCAAATTTAAAGATTTATAAACATTCTAAAACAGCCTAAAATTTACATGCCTCACTGTACGAATTTATGTACATATGGATAAATAAAATAATATTTAAAAATGTTTAAAATAACTAACTTTATATTAATGTTATAAAAGCAAAATATAGCTTTAACTTAAAATTGTCGAATAAAGTTATGGTTTGGCTCCACGTATACTCAAGCCAATTGAGAAGAAAAATAATTTAAATTTTCAAGCAAAACTATATCCAATTTTGCAATAGTCATGAAAACACGAAACTTTCTAGCAAAGTTCATATACCAAAATGAATAATTCAAATAACCAAAAAAAAATCAAAGATTTTAAATAAGGCAATACTTTCCATTGGTCTTTTAATAATGTTTTAGAAAAATCAGTTTAGCTGATTCGATAATAGTTTTAGAGTTTTTGAAATATCTTTTTGGTCATTCAAAGAACAAAACAATTTTCCCAAATAACACATGTTTTTTTTGGAAAATATTTAACTCACATAATTTTTGTTTTTTTTTTTTATCTTGAAATAATAGTCAGTAAATATAAAAGAACATCAAGCATTTTAATAAGTAGTTACAGCTTTTTGCTGTCTGAGAAATATTCAAAAAAATAAATCAAGTTTAAGTTACAAACCCTAACCATACAGTGTATAAAAAATGCACATTAAAATAAAGAAAAATAATAATAAAATGTCTGCTAGGAAATAATTTTATGTCCTGCACATAAAAGAGATTCCATTTTGTTCTTTTTTGCAATATCGTGTAAAGCAAAAACATAATCAATACTTTTTTTTTTAATTTATCCTTTTAGCAGTGTAGCAATCATGTAGATACAATGTGTGTTTTTCGATTTAAGTTTTTTTTTATTGGAAAATAAATCATTCGAAAATTTTAAAAAATTTCGTTTTAAAATAAATTTAAAAAAAAATTATTTTTAATTCTCCGTTGTTTTTTATTACAGGTGAATATTGTTCTGAAAAAATCAAATTTTGTTCAGAGGAATTTAATCCTTGTGCGAATTCTGCCAAATGCGTCGATCATTTTACGCATTATTCATGTGAATGTGCTCCAGGTTTCCATGGAACAAATTGTACCGAAGACATTGATGATTGCCAAAATCATATGTGCCAAAATGGTGGTACATGTATTGATGGCATTAATGATTATATATGTAAATGTCCGCCTGAATATAGTGGTAAATATTGTGAAGGAACACCAATTGTAGCTATGATGTATCCTCAAACATCACCATGTCAAAATCATGAATGTAAACATGGTGTTTGCTTTCAACCAAATCCCTCTGGATCAGATTATTTGTGTAGATGCCATCCGGGATTCTCTGGAAAATGGTGTGAATATTTGACAAGTGTCAGTTTTGTTCACAATAATTCATTTGTTGAAATGGAACCATTACGAACAAAACCAGAAGCAAATGTAACAATCATTTTTAGTAGTACACAAGAAAACGGTGTACTAATGTATGATGGTGAAAACGAACATTTAGCTGTTGAGTTATTTAATGGTCGAATAAGAGTCAGTTATGATGTTGGAAATTATCCAGTTTCAACAATGTATAGTTTTGAAATGGTTTCAGACGGAAAATATCATACAGTAGAATTATTAGCAATTAAGAAAAATTTCACTTTAAGAGTAGACGGAGGTCTTGCCAGATCTATTATAAATGAAGGAACAAAAGATTACTTAAAATTGACATCACCAATGTATTTGGGTGGTTTAGCTGCAGAACCCGGACAACAAGCATATAAAAATTGGCATTTAAGAAATTTAACAAGTTTTATGGGATGTATGAAAGAAGTGTGGATTAATCATAAATTAGTTGATTTTATGAATGCTAAGAAACAGCAAAAAATAACTCCGGGGTGTGCCCTTTTAGAAGGTGATACCGATGAGGAAGAATTAATGGAAGCAATGCAAGAAATGCATGAAACGCCAGAAGAAAAAGAAGTAATTAAACTTGAAAAAGCAAAAAAAAAAAACCAAAAAAATGTTTTTATATCGCCTTTTTTATATATTTAATATTCCGAAAAAAATATTATTTTTTCATTTTTTTTTTTTAATTTTAGGTTGATCCATGTGAAAATAATCGATGTCGCCGTGGAAGCCGTTGTATTCCAAGCAGTAATACAAAAGATGGTTATACATGTAAGTGCAAACAAGGAACAAGAGGAAAATATTGTGATCAAGGTGAGCCTACTACATCAGAGCCGCCCACATCTACTGGTACATAGAATTCATTATTTAATATTCATTCTTTTTCATTTTTCTTTTCATTCAACTTTATTTGTTGTCAAAAAATATTCATTAGATGGAATTATGATTTCACATTCAATATCGCACTCACATTGTTTTCTACGCATACATATACATATATGCATTCTTTTCTTCTTTAAGAATAATGCTAGCTTTGAATTATTATTTAAAAAATTAATTATAAAGTCCAATAACGGCAAATGCGAATACAAATATATTTTATTGCTATCGCTAAAGCACATATGTATATCATTAGAACTCAATCATTAAAACCTTAAATTGCCTTACCGCTTGTAACGCTAAGAAATAATGGTCTTAGATATGAGCTCAAGTGTATGTTTTCTATCAGTGTAGAATTCTGAGTCGTTTTAGCTTTGTCTGTCCGTCTGTCCATCCGTCCGTCCGCCCCAACAATAACTCAAAAATTAATTGAGCTAAGTTCACCAAATTTTCACAAATGATTTATTATAGTAAATGCCAGAATTCTTTTTAAATTGGATATGATCATGGTACTGGGTTCAGGTAGCTGCCATACAACTTCAAAAGTAGATTGGCCATATCTTAGAAAGTATTGAAAAGACTGTACTGAAATTTTGCATAAAATAATATGGTAATACGACAAGTTAAAGTCATAATCTGTCCTATAGTCAGCTACGGCATATTTATTCGCACATATGATAGAAAATTCGTACGGGTATCACAGAGTTGACACGGTCAGCTCTTTTTTTCTCATTTATTCTAAAATTTATAGAAACAAAATTAAAAGTATAAAAATTTATTTGATAAAATGTATCCTTATTTTTGCAATATTTTCATTCGCTTCACAGTACTTTGACACTAAATTTACATAAATCGCAATAAATTAAAGACCACTCCCATTTGAAAAAACCATAATTTTAGGAGCACTCACCTACATTTTACATATATACAATTTATATTACATGGACATATACAATTTTTATTATTATTTGACAACTAAGATTGGGACTAAATGTAAAAATTTAATATTACACAAATCTTTTTCAATTTTGTAATAAAACATTGGTTTTTATTTTTTACAAAATATATTAATAAATTTTTAAATTGTTTTATCCCCATGAAAAGCTGCTTCAACTTGCCGTAAAGAACAAGTTAAAGAATATTATACAGAAAATGATTGTCGATCTCGACAACCTTTGAAGTATGCCAAATGTGTTGGTGGCTGCGGTAACCAATGTTGTGCAGCTAAAGTCGTTCGGCGAAGAAAGGTAAGAATCGTATACGCACTTTCGCCTTCAAAATTGTTTTGAATCCTTCAGTAAATAGTTTTTGGTAAAAGAGAGGAACCTTAAAAGCAATTTTTTTGAAAAGTCTAGTCACTACCACTAATTTTAATACCAAATTTTTTCCTTTCGTGAAAAAATTTGGTTTTATTTTAACATTGATAAAAATAGCAAACAAAAAAATTTTTCAAATTTTTTATTTGCTATATAAAGTTTATGTTTTGCAAAATGTGTTTGATCTTTTTACCTACTTTTTTGACACTTCACAAGTAATTTGCCTTTTAATAAACTTTCAAGAAAATATACCTTGTCAATTAACTTTGAAGGTTATAACGAAAACTACGTCTAATTAAACAAATTGAGTAAATGAAATTACTAACATATTCACTATTACAAAAATCATAATAATATTAATCAAAGTTGATAAACTCATTTGAAAATTTGGAGTTATAAAAATAAATTGATCCCCAAATGATCAACCATCTTTTAGCTTCAACCAATATTTTACAACTAGACATTCTTCACCGGCATTCTTCAAAAAATTGTCTTTAGTTTTGAAAACTTTTGACGTTCGATAAAAGCCTCATTGGTTTTAAGATAAAACACATGTAATAAAACACGTTTAAATATGAGATTCAAAATTATTTAAGATTCTTCTAAAAATAAGTACATATGTATAATGTAATTACAGGATATTAAAAATATATTTTGTATTCTTTTTATAGGTGCGGATGATATGCAACAATAATACAAAATATGTTAAAAATCTAGATATAGTAAGAAAGTGTGGTTGTTCAAAAAAATGTTACTGACTGAAAGATGCGACTACCCAAGTTATAAATATTTATACACATAATAATAACAATAATAACTTAAATTTAACTAATATTAGCAATTATAATATAAACAAAACATTAGTTGTAAGCATTAATAGTAATTACAATAATAATAATAATCATAATATTCAATTAAGTAGATATGAAAATTTAAAAGAAAAAAATTCTCATAATGATAATGAAAATGTTGAAGATTATGATGATTCTGAAAAAAAAATCATCGTAAGTAATAAGGAAGATACTAAAACATTATTTGACAAAAACCAAAATAGTAAAGAAAAAAGTTGTGACGCTAGCTACAAAGAAATATATTTCGATAGAGATTATATAAATACTGACGCTAATGATGGCATTAACAATGATAGCAGTGGTAATCTAAAAAAAGACTCACTTTCTACAAATTTCGAATATGAGTATATGTCTGACCAATCAGTTAATGAAGATTCAAAAGACTTTTATGACATTAGTAATGAACAGGATTTGGAAGAAAATTTTAAAGATAAAATAGTTAATAAAGAACCAAATACTACCAGTGACGTGGGTCACGACTATCAGGGTGACGACAGTTATGTAAACATTCAGTATTCCAATTCAAATGAGACGTTAAATGATGAAGCCTTAATTGAAGAAGCAGTAATCTTTGATAAGAAATATGATAATTTTTATAAAAATATTAAACGTCTTGATAAAAAAATTTTAGACAACAATGAATCATTTCTTCAAAGGAAAAAAAATGGTGACAATAATGAAGAAGATGATTATGATGACGATGATGATGATGTTGATGATGATGGAGATAATGTTAATATTGAAGAAAATAGTAAAACTTCAAAATTGTTGTATAATAAACCGCAAAATAAATATTTTCGTAAAAACACTAATGATGCTATTAAAATTATTGCAACACCTTATGGTAGAGTTGGTGTTGTCTATGAAAAGTCAAAATCCAGTCATAATGAAGAAGATGATAGCATAGATAATATAACAGAAAATATTGAAGAAATTAAAACATCGATATCTTCATCATCAAGTGCTATTGCATCACAACGAAGTAAAATAACACCAGTTTTAACACCAGATGGTAAAATTGCACTGCTGTATCGTGGCGCTTCTGAAATATCCAAATATGAACCTTTAAATCCAAATTTTATTAATCCTAATTTAGACAATAATAATAGCAATAACAATAATAATAATCATATTAATGTTAATATTAACTACACAAGTGCCATACAAGATATAAAAAGAAAACAACAAAATTTATATGAAAGCAGTGAAGAAGATTTAGGGTACGATGATGATGAGGATGAGGAAATTGATGATGAAGGAGATACAGATAGTTCAAATGAACAAGGAAATATATCTGAGGCTAATGAAAATAACAAAGAATCAACATTATTAGAATCATCTACGCCGAATCCTGACGATACAATAATTTATAATAATAACACTGCACTTCCAAATATTAATCGTCCTTTATCTGAAGTTTTAGGTATTAAAAAACACCAATTTAAGCAATTTCGCATTAAAGATGAAAAATTAGATCTTATGACTTCAACAGAAGCTTTAATAGAACCAACTACAATATCATCATCGATAGCCAATAATAATTTAAAAATTCAAAATAATGCAAACCCACATTCTTGGTATGGATCTCGAACTTCAATTTTAAATTATAATACACCTAACCAAGATTTACCTAATGAAAAATTTCATCAAAATGATATAGAAGATCATACAATTAATAATGATGGTAATGAAGAAGAGAGCAAAAATGAAAATGATGAGGATGAGAGAATACCTGATAACATGTTCTCGAAACATGACGTCGTTAATTTAGCTATCATACCACATTTTGACGAAGAGTTTGAGATGCAACAAGAGCACTATCGTAACGAATTCACGTTTGCTTCAGCTTCTAATTTCCGAAAAAATTATAAAAATTTTCAAAGAATCCATTGTTTATTTCAAATGGTCTTTTGTTTTATTTTTACATCAACTGTTTCTCAAATATTTGAATATATATTAAACACTATAGCATCAATTGGTTACACATAATAATTGACATTGATAACATGAAAGTAAGCTAAATTTAGAACAATTTTTTTGCTAAATTAATTTGAGAGATCAGAAAAAATAAAACCGGAATTACACAAAAAATAAAACAGTATATAAATTTATTATAGATTGTTACTTCGTAGAACTACATATACATACATAGCATAGTACGCGTACAAAATACATATATTTATACAATTAGCTGTTTATATGTAAAAATATTTATACACACAATATATAACAACATTAATGTTTTAAATGTATGTATTTTTATATGTCTTATGATAGATTTTTCTGTTCTCAATCTAACCTCTAAACAAATTTTTGAGTTATACCTAAAGTTTTTAATTAATTAAGTTGAATTCTAAACAGGTGATGTTGAAAATAAAACAAATAAAGTTATTTTGAAACTAGACAACCTTAAAAACGAATACTAGCGAAGTAATTGCTTTCTACCGCACAAAAAAATTTAAATTTATCAAATAAAATATATAATACTAGACTACAAAAAGCATTCTAAAAATATTTTTCATATAGTTTTACATGCCACATCAAGTTTTTACCATAATTTTTACTATTTTCATTTTTATATCAAGCCTGTAGTATCCTTTATACATACATACTATAAAAGCCGACTTTAGGTATTAAACTCAATCATTCATATTATCTTAGACGCGTAACTGGAAGTAATGCAGATTCCAAAATTTTGAGATTTTTAGCATAAAACTTCATATTTCAAAATTAATGTTGTTCTAAAGATTAAAGAATCTGTAATATCCCATAATCTTAAGTGGGGTGGCTAAGATAATATGGATGAATATTTAAGTAAAATATAAATAAGAAATTCATTTCTCTAAATAAAAATTATGCTTGTCATAAAAATATACAAAAATATTTAATCAACGCTATATAATGTCTTTATGAATATAGAAACAGAAAAGTATATAATAAATGAAACGAAATAAAATATTTATTTTTTAATGTAATTATTATTATTATTATATAAATATAAATATAGTATATATATATATATATATGTATTTATGTATATATAGTTATTATAATATTTTATACCGTACATAAATATGCATTTTATAATATTTTTTACGTGAACATTACAGCCTAGTCCTTAGAATAATAAATTTTTTAAAAAATATAAATCAAACGAAAAACGCTCATAATCTGTACCAGCTCTTATAGAGTTTTATAATGAAAAAAAATTAGCAAAAGAAAAACTCAACTCAACAATTTCATTTGTTATATTCAGGGTTACATTAATATCTCCATAATTTCATTACAAACAGCTAGGTTAACATAACATAAAATAATATAAAACTAAATAATAAAATCAAATTTTATTCACCCAATAATCAATCTATTAAGTTAAAATATTTGAAATATAATACAAAGTTCTAGAAATACATACCTCCAATAACAATAAATTTAAGATAAACACAAAACAACCAATTTATATAATATAAAAATAATAAAATGACTTTATATATAAAAAAAGAAACTATAGCCAAAACTTACTACCACATACATACAAAAATACAATAAATACGATTCATAAATTTCTATTATTACCACACCATCTAAATACATAACATGTCAAGAAATATTCGGGTGGAGTATATTTATGAAATGCAAGCTTTGTTTTATTAATTACAATTTATTGAAATTTTTAAAATTCTATTCTATAACGATCTATTATACGATCTATTATACGTATGTATTTAAAATTCACTTGAAAAGTCATAATGATGAGCAAGAAAATAAAAATTATATTCCACAAACTTCTGATAAAACCCAGTCAGAAAAAGTTCTTTTAAGAAAAATTAAGTAACTGCCAAAATCTTTTATACAGACATTTTCTTTCTAAATCACATGTCTCTTAATGTAAATATCAAAACAATTTCCTTTCTTATCCAATGTAATTTTGGTTTTATTGACCGTCGAATAATATATTCAAGCAATTCATAACTCATTTTAAATTTTCTGTATGCAATGATTAAAAATATCTTGTTGAAAATTGATAAGAAAACTTTAATTTATAATCATGGAACTATTTAGAAAAATATGGGCCTAGTCTAATGTACACATCAATAAACACAAATTTTGTTTCCAGTTTCAGTAAACTATAAACTGTTGAAGGAAATATTCCTTCACATAACCAAATAATTCGCAATTCGTAAAAACGAAAAACATTTAAAAAAATATATAAAATATAAAATAAAAATTTAAGTTAAGCAGGAAATAATTTAATCAAAATTTTGAAAATCATTTGCGATGAATTATTTATATATTAGATTAAAATAAAATAACATTCTAGTATATAATTCACTTTACTATTTTAAATGTGATTAAATATATACTTAGTAATACCGGAGTCTTATCCATTTTCCTTCGTATATATCTCAAAATTTTTGAAATTTCCTGTTATGTGTTGCGATGTGTTTCTGTTATGTGTTTCAAGATCGTAAAAATCTAAATTCATTCTAATATCTAAGTGGATATATCAATGTTTTAACTTAAAGAAATATTTAATTATTATTATATAATAAAATAGTTTTCAAATTTGAAAATCCTATTTAATATAAAAATCAATTTTCACTCAAAACTTTGTATTTCATTTAGAATAAACTACACGAAATTTTAAAATTTAAAAAAAAAAATTGTAAAAGATCAAACAAATTTGGTAAATATTTTACTCCCTAAATCTATAATAAAATTATAAAATTTAAAAAAATATATTCACGCTCTAACCAAGAAATATTAATGACATAAAATTTCAATTTGTAAAAACATACCAAAATGTGCACACCTTATATAAGATGTAAAAATCGCACATATGAACATGTAAAATTAACGTACTTGAATTTACAAATTTTTCTTTTATATAGTTTTTCAAAATTCAAAACAAGCGAAAAAATATTTGAGACAGTTTTTGTATTCTTATGATTAATTAATTAAAATGGTAATATGTATAAACATAACTTTAAATAGAAAGTTAAATAAATTTTTTTTGAAACCTTTTACTATTTTGCTCAAAAGTTTTACTAAGACGAGCGTACATCAAAACACATTTTTGACAAAAATAGCGAATAAAAAATTTTTTAATTGAAAATAAAGAATAATAACTTATAGTTTTTAATAAAAAAAAATAGTTTTAACGAAATGATTTTGTTTTTCAAATTTAATAAACAATTCTTATAGTTAAAAATAAATTAGAAAACTAAATTGGAAGAAAACTTAAAATAATATGGGTAGTCGCATGTAAAATTTAAGATAAAACAAAATATATGTATGATATTAAACAAAAATTGTGTTTTTTTTTGTTTGTAATATTTCCATTTTTAAAAAATAAAATAATGTTAAACGTCTATATATATATATATATATATATATATATATATATATATATATGTATATATAATCATTAAACTTTGTGGATTCAATTAAGTTGTAAAATATTAAAATAGATTACAAATAACCATATTACAATAAATCGATAACATTTTTAAAGTATGTAAACGAATATCATTGGAAAAATGTATGTAATTACTCATTGAAATTTAATTTATATGTTTTTACATATTAATATTAAAATTATTGAAGATTTGCTGGATAAATATAAGATTTCTTGCTTAGATAAAACTCATAAAGAGGCTAAAGAGTGAAATGATGATGAATTAATATTTCACTTGTTTTAATTTTGTTCTTGTTTTTTGTTTATTGCAATCTTATGGTTATTTGATTAATCTATGGTTCCACAAAATAGAAAAAATTCAAAATTAGATTATTAATACATACATATGTATTAAAATGAATTGTAAAATATTAAATATAACTTATTCCTTTTCATAAAACTAATAAAAAAAAATTTCATATCCTATTTTAATGAAAAATTCATCATATAATTTAAATATTATTTTATTTGTATCTATTTTTCAAATATGATTTTTCAATATTATTTGAAATTTTTATATATGGCACCATATAATTTTTTTTCGTTACTATAAAACCTTAACATTTTACACTTATTAACTGATTGAGAAAGTAATAATTTTCTCTTTTCTGATTTACAAAAAAAAATTCACGGTCCAAACGAAGAAGTTCGCAGTTATTATTAGAAATATATGATAATGAATAAAATATAAAAAATATTTTATAATGAGTATGAATTCATAATAAAATGATTTATTATATTTTCAGCTAGTCTCAAAAGAAAAGCTATTGTAAACGAAAGAACTTTGCTTGAATTTTATATGCCATAAAGTAGTGTTTCAAAAACAGTAATTTTATCATCTTTGGTTGAGCTATGATTTTTTCATCTTTTGTTTGAGTTATATTATTGTCAAATGGTTTATGGGCTAAAGCTTGCGCTTATAAATTACAGATAATTTATTTTTAATTAAACTAATTTAAAAGCAATAGCAGCTTTTCCAATATTCTTATTATCATTAATGTTTTTAGTCAATACTAAATGCATTATAACAGTCTTTCTGTGTCCTGTTTGTAATAAATTAATTTTTGTTAATTAGTTATTTTATTATTGTTGCGAAAAAAGAAAAGTTAACCAAACTACAAACATATATTATTACAAAATTGATATATTCATACAAAAGAAAATATTTTTCCATTATCTTCGTTACCTAGAAAACAATCTTCTTTATTAACAAAAACACAAATTATGATTAAATTAACCATTAATTTAAAAATGCTAATTTTACATAGAAAATCTATATATATTTTCAAAATAATTTCAGCCTGACTTCAAATTTTATTTTAATTGAGAGTTTTTTTTTTAATATAATATATAACATATGTTTAAATTTATTAAATTATTTTATTTAAATGATTTTTTTAATTAAAGTAAAATATATTTTTTTATAATCACAACAAATTAACTTAAGTTATTTTTTATTTTTATAATATACATATAAATAAACATATTGCATAAATTAATATAAATTGTTTCGAAATTTCTTATTAATGTCGTTTTGATTAAAGTAGCAGTATAAATTTATTACAAATACATACATTTTATATTATACTTTTTAATATAAAAAGAATATTAACAAAGGTTAATAATACAAATTTTATTATAAATACAAATTCATTTATATAAATAAAATATAATTTGTAATTAATTGTACGAAATTATTTGTAAAGAAAATCAAAAAAAATTTATATAATATATAACATATACCTACATACATATAAAGCTAAATTTAAATACATACATATGAAATAAAATATTAATTGTAAAAAAAGTTGTTTTTTAATACTATACATTTAATTTCATTTAAATATATTAGAGTTCATCCCATTTATCAAGAGAAAATTTCTCTTCAATTTGAATGCATTTCTGCTATTAAAAAATCCCATTCTAAAACTGTGTGATAAATAAATATTACATAATGTAATTAAAATGTTACATAAAATAGTTATGTAACACTAAACGCTAGAACATAATGAAAAATGGCAAAATTATGCTATTAACAAAGTTAATGGATTTTGCTATAAGCAATATTCTCAATAATATCAACTACATATGTATTTTCAAACTTATTTAAGAAAATTGAAAGTTACCCTTACCTCAAAATTGCAATAATATAGTATTAATACAATTATGGGTTACGTATTGAGCTTTTGTATTGAGTTGTATTAGTTTTACTTTGCTACAATTCAAAAGCTTTAGTGTTTAAAGTAATTTACAGCTAAAGTGTTTATTTAGTGCGAGAACATTTTGACTTTTTTAAATATTTAGTTAACCAATGAAACTTCAAGATCATGTATTGCATCAAATGCATAACCGGCAGAACATGGACAAAAAGCGCTCCCAATGTCTACTCGTGACTTTTAAACTTTTGATAGTCTAGATTTTATCAAATAATATAGCTAATGTGACCACTAAGCGATTTCTAATCTCTATATTCCTCCATATACTATAAAAACTTGTTTCTCTAACCAGCTGCACTCAGAACGGTTAAAAAATATTATTCCAAATCTCTACTTCTTGACCACTTAAACCCATTAAATTCTAAGTTTAACAATACAAAATAACTAAGCAATTTCTAAGTTCAATGAACCTACATAATATATTATTTTATAAAATAAGCTTTTTACTTTAATGTGTTGTCTTCATTTCATATTGACAGGATATGTGGCAAAAAAAAGCATGCAATTGCATTACGTTCTGCATTTTGACACAAGAATTCGTATTCGTAGTTGCAGAAAATATCATCATTTGAATGTTTTAAACACTTTTATTCTCTTCATTTTTTTTTTTATTGAATCTGATACATTTTTTTCTTGCTCATATGTTAAATCACATCAGTTATTCCTTAATTTTATCTTAGAACTTAAACAACAAAAGCTAATACAGTGCATATTGAAACTATTATAAAAAATGGTAACCATGTTTTTAAAAATCCAGAAATCCCAACATATTTTCCACAGAAAAACATCCAACCTGCCAATATTACCATTCCCCAGTATGATCTACCATTATATTGCATCATTGAAAGAGACATTCCAACATGTGAGTGACAATCTACAAAAATTAATTTTATAACATTGTTTTGAAAAATTTCTGAAATATAGAATTCATACTATCCCAAAGAAGATTATGCATTTTTGTCCCATAAATAACTGAAGCTTTTGAAACAGATTCATCCCACTCTTCTCTTCCACCAGTAACATTATCCGGATTCAAAATTAAGAATCGGGTAGGTCTTCCGAATCCCATATTATCTTCCGAAACAAAATATGATCCAGCAAAATCTCTTATGACCCCATTAGACATCGCTATGCCCTTCAAAATACGAAATTGTTTAAAGAAATAAATTTTTTAGAAACATATTACCATATGCCCAATAAATGGGAAAAACCATGTTAGAACTGGAATTGGAGTCCACACAATACAAAATGGATATTTGTCCGTATCGAAATTAATTACTGGACTTGATGTGGGTATCATTCTATATATGACTTCAGAATTCATAAAAAAATTTAATTTAAATATTTTTCAATTATAAAAAATAATGTGCAAATTTGCATTCACTCAATTAAAAATTCTTGTGTATACAAAAATGTAGTTTTTATTTTACTTCAGCTTTTTTCCTCTTACTATTTATGACATTCTGATTTGTTTACATATACAAAAATAAAAACATTGATTTGAAAGTGAACAAAACACAATACATACAGATGGGAAATTTCAAAAAAAATTTACTTTTTCTTCAAAAATTGACAACCGTACCAGTGATTCTTAAAGTAGGTATATTGTTATTAAAAACCATTGAAGTACGATCTAGTAAATACAGATTCAAGTAATATTACTTTTAATTAAATTGAGTTCGGCATTGGTTGAAAAGCATTATATATTAATTTCTCATTTAGAAAATTCAAAGAGCGTGTATGCATCCGATTTTCCAATGGCTTAAAAATTTCAATGATGATCTGTTTTTTGTTAAGGGTAGTATTTAAATATAGGAAACCTAAGGTACGATTCATATATACAGGTAAAATACTGACATCAGACTTTGTAAAACAAAGCGACAATTAATATTCTGTAAAAGTCTAAATCAGCTTATTTTTTATTTTAGTTATGATTTCGTAACAAAACTATTTTATTTTGATGTTAACTCTGACAGTAATCAAATAATTTAAGTCTGATATGGGAACAGTCTTGAATTTGAAAAAAACTGCATTTCAAATTTACTGCATTGAACTTAATTTTTGTAATTAATATTTATAACATAGGTCAATATAAAATACAAAACCAGAATGGTTCACGATAGTAAAATTCATGCCCTTTGCCAAATTTGTTTCGCTTCTCTTTCTCGACCTTTCTCGTTTCCAGTTTTATTTTTATGGGACTTAACTTTTCATCTATAGTCTTACAAACATCAATAATAGTTATAATAAGTGAAATAGTTATATGATCAAAAGCAATATTTAAATCTTAACCTGCATAAAAGTCTTTGCTATCAATATTTGTTTAAAAAATTAACAATAATCGCCTCTTTAATATTATACATACATTTAAATATATTAAAATAATTCAAATATTTACTTTGAAAAAACTGTCAGAATTTCCAAAAACAAAAAATTAAAAAAAAAGCTGCCAGTTCAAATTTTTTACGATGCGATTTTGTTATTATAGTACCAAACCATTCAACTTACAAAAATTTGCGATTTTCGCGTTTTTACTTAGTAGGCCACCAGCATTATTTTATTAGACACGTCGCTTATAAAAATGTGGCATCATTTCTATTCTACTATATACACGCTTTTATTAAATAATGTTATTTTGCTATAAGTATTTTTGAAAATTGTCAGATTTTGTATTCACATGTAGTCGTGTATATTTTTTTTATCTACAGAGATAATAAAAGTTTATGAAAAATAAAATTTAAAGCAATAGGAGAACAGAAAAGTATAATTAGATATTTAAATAGCAATATTGAATAATTTTATTAACTTCAGTGTAAAAGTAACCAATCAACAACTATTTGAAATTTTAATCGAGTTAAGGAAAAATTTACTTTTTAATTTTCTTCATCAATTTTACCTCTACTTTTACCAAAAACCAAAAAAAAATCGAAAACAACTTTCTTTCTCCAACTTACTATTTGCTATTTATACATTTTTCTGTCACCAGTTTATTTAGAAACAATTTCTAACCTGCATCAAAAAAATCTAAACGGGTTTAACAGCGCCGGGCATAAGTAGCAGGGTCTCCGTTTCCCCCTCCTCTTCCTCATAGTTGTATACCGCATCGTAAACGATTTCTGTGCTCGTACATATTTTTTGCTCTGGAAACTACACCACTTGTCTTTTTTATAAATGAGACAAATATTTTTTTCACATAAATGTATACAGTCCACATATTTCTATAATTAATATAATATATAATTTCTATAATTAATTTTAAAAGGTAATACTACACATTTAAAAATGAATAAAAAGTTTCTTTGATTTTTAACTAACTTTGTGAAAAAATTGACACACGCACAACTTTGGTAAACAAGCACTTAGTTAATCATAAATATGTTTTTTGACATTGTTTTTGAATCGAATTGTTTTGCATTGAAGTCATCTTATTTTTTTCGCATATATTACTTTTTCCTGTTACCTTCGACGCTCAATAAGGACGACAGCTACAACGACTATATATTACAAAAATAAATGTTCGTTGTCCTTGAAATAAATGTTGAATCTCTTGTCGTTTTGAATCCAGTTGCAAATTTGAAAAGCGGAACTGGAACACATTTAGTTGTCAAGCTGTTTGACTACAACGCCTTATAATTAACCAAAAACAGAGATGACCATTTGGATAAACAAATGTATCAAATTTATAAACAAATGTATTTAAATTAAATAAATATATTAATGAGTTATTAAATTGTATATTTGTAAATTATTAAAAATAATTTATGTTCTGGGTAACGAATAATTGTTATTTAAATTTTTTTTCACTTTAATTGATTTTACAAAACTAGCAAAGTGAATGTTGAAGGTAGCAAAGCAAAAAGACATATTGTGAAATCACTGTGCACCAATAAATTGTAAACAACCATTATTTTAAAAATATCTGCATCATCAATTATCAAATATCAGATAAGTACATGTTTAACAATTTAATTTTTAAATGTTTAACAATTTTAGTAAATGTCTAATAATATTATCTATTAAACCTTCAAAGTGAAGGTTTAATAGTTAAAATTATTAAACCTTCCAAGTGAAGGTAGTTTAGAATGTGATGGTAATTATACAATAAGTTGTGATAATAGTTCATATTATATTGACTTCATTTAATTTGCAGTTGAACAATTAAAAAAAATGGATTAGCCTCAGTGATATGGTCATAAGGGAATCTAGAAAGAAGAACATGCCTTCTGAAAGTAAACGTACATAAAAGTTAAATTTTACAATAGGATGATTTTTTTGAAAGATGTTTATAAACCCAGAAAAATGTAAAAAAAAGTTTAAAAAAACGGGTATTTGAAACAAGTCGTTGAATTTTGTCGCTCCCATTGTCGCGTTGTTCCACCGATATCAGCTGGTTACGTTCTAGTTGTCGTTTTTATTGAGTTCTTTGGTTACTCCTTATTCTTAATTTCTAAAACATATTAGAAATATTAAATTAAATAAAATGCGAAATTCCGAAAACTTTCGAAATAATTCGAATATTGATTATGTTATGGTTGTAGACATTACTAGAAATAATTAAAAATGAAACAAATTAATATATAATGAAACTCGAGTCGTGAAGAGTGAAACAAAATAATAATACCATAACAAAATGTCACTTTCTTATAAAAAATAGACCAATGTGCAACACTGTGAGTGTTTTTTTCTAAATTAAATTTTAAAATTTTAAAGTTTTTAATATTATGTGCTCGTTTTCTTTGTACTTACTGGTGTTTGCCTCATAGTTTAAATATTGAAAAAAAACTTTAATAATTTTTTTTTTAAGTTTCTTTAATAATAGGAGCATAGGGCTGGTACACGATATTGTAGATAACCCCGAACTTTTTTCTTGAAGTTTCTGACATCATTAAGTTTACTAGGTAGGTGACGGAGCTTACCGTAGTTTTTTTTATATAAAATATTTAAGGTTATTGATATTCACTGTTTTACTTTGTTGATATTTTTAATATTGGATATTATTGAAATATGGCAATAATGTTAATATTAATTTTTTTTCTATGTAAAATTTATAAAGCTATATAATATTGAATATATGTAATTTTTTACAGTAATCTGACTGGGCTTTGAACCCGAGACCTTTCTGTTAAAGGACCACTGCACCATTGGTCAGGGTCAGGTCTTTTAAAAGTTGTGTAGTGCTGTAAAACCTTTTTTTGCGAATTTTTGGTGCTATTTTAAAAAAACTCATTATTTTATTGAAAATGTATGTTTTGGCAGTTCTGTGCAATGTTATAAAAAATAAGTACATCAACACTAAGTTAATTTTTCAAATTTTATTAAATATAGTCAGACTCTTCGTTTGCGTTTGGTTCGGACAACAACCTATTGGAACCTCTAAATCTTTCCACATTTTGTGCAAGTCTGCATATTTTTTCAAAGATTCAAATTAGAATTCGGTCGGCTTCCCCTTTTTACACTGAGTTTTTTCTCACTATATTCGTTTCAGAACTCGTTTTCAAAATAATTTTCCAGGAGAGAAGTTTCTTTTTTGGCGAAGACAAATTTTTTTCTAAGGAATATTTTTCAGCAAAACATTAGAGGTATGTTTTTAGAATCATAAAAATCACCGTTTTCTAAATTGGAAATGTAGCTATTTGACAATATTCAAATGTGAAAAAGACTGGATTCAATAAAATAAATTGTAAATTACTGGATTCGGTTAATATTTATCAATGTTGTTTTGAAATGATTCAAGTTCATTTGCACTTTCCTCAAAGATCTGTAGGCCAAACATTTTTGGCACTCATCTGTTTTATGTCTAAAAAATCCAAGATTGCTGGATGAAATTCTGAGACGATATGTTGCGTGTTGGTGTCATTCCGCTATTTTTGCAATCGGTCACATAAGGCAGATAATTTATAACATTTAAAAATTAATCTTAATATCGTTTTTTCCTAGATTTTCGGCAATAATGGATCTCAATTATAGGAAAACACTTGATGTGGTTCATAAGACATGTCGTGTTTGCCTCACTTTACTTATGGCTATTGCACTTGTACGAGATTATTTAAAAAAAAAGCAAAACTAAACATGTTTTTTTTCCTAGTATAACAAACCCGAAAGTGCCATTTTAATGTAAGCTTCAATATTGCATTTAATAAGATATTTACAAAAGAATCACGAAACTCAAGTTTAGACACAATAAAGTCATTTTGCAGATATGTACGTGTTAAATTTACAACGCTTTAAATTTTTTCGAAGTTACGTGAGTTTTTCTAATGATAGTTTAGATTTTGGAAAATGCTGAATATTTCTGTACATAACACGCAAAACCCTTAAAAAATCCATTTTGTGACTCCTCCATAATACCAATGATGTAACACGAATTTGAATTTTAGTTTACTGCAGGTAAAATGCAGTAATGTGTTTTATCTGTGAAAATTTAAAAAATATTAACATGTTATCAATGTTTTTTATTTACAATGTTATAAATGAAAATTTATTTAAATTATCCTCTTTTCTTGAACACTTGATTATCGGGATGGGGGATGGACAGCCCTTTATTGATTATATGTTTTTTGTTTTTTTTTCTATGCAATATATGCGTGTATTTTGATAGCAAGGCTTAATGATATCTCAAAATCAAAAGAAAAAAGTCGCTAAAAGTTGCTCAAAAATATCAAAAGTTGTCAAAAAGGTCGCTAAAAAATAAAAATAACCAAAAAATTCGTTTGAACAGTTTTTGTTCTTGGACACAAATAACACAAATTATACTTGTATGTGCTTTACGACAAAAAAAGGAAACTTAATTTAAATTTTTTTTCTCAAGCTTTCAATAAAACTAAAAAAAAGGTTATTAAGATTAAAAAGCCGCTAAATCTAGCGACAAAATTATCAAAATGGCATCACTGTTCGGGGACCCTTCCTTTTTTTGTGAATGTTTGTGTTAACAAAAGTAAAGTGACATTTCGTAATCATCTCTTTGAAAAAAACTTATGATTTGTGAATATTTTCATCTCGGATTTTCTATGAAAAAAATTGACTAACACCCAGCAATTTTATATTAAAATGAAATTTGGAGTTTTCTGAGCAACATATCAAAAACTCAAATTTCAACTCGAAATTTTAATTATGTATAAGTTTAAAAGTATTTTCGAGTTTTTTCCGCATTTGTTTTTTGAGCCGCTATATCAAACAACTAATCAAAGAGAATTGAGCGCAATTGAAAATGATAGTACACTGAAGGAAAAGAAATTTGGTATTATATTTTTTGTTCTAGAATACAAGATATAAAATAAAGTTATTATATATAATTATTATAGTGCTTTTAGAATTCTATAATTATAATAAAATGCACCGTGCCAACTTGTCTCTTGTTATAAAAACGAACATAATAAAAATATAAAGAAACATATATATTAACTTTCAAAATTCCTAATACAGAAGGTTAGTTGAGTCAGCGAATTAAGCTTGATAATAATATTTAATAAAATAACTAATAAATCACATATATACAGAAATAGAATTACATATAAATTTTAATATAAAAATAATACACATAAGTAAGCAATAATTTTAATTGTTAATACTATAATTAATATAGTACATATTCGGAAAATATTCAGATATATGTATGTGATTATATAAGAAGTATGCATTAGTGGAAGACATCAAAAACAATTCTCAAACTTGAAAAAATATACAGAAATCAATTCAATATTTAGAAAATATGTACACAATTCAAAATCTTCAAAAAAATTAACCGAACCTTAAAGGTTTTTTTTTTAAATACAGTTTTTAATGTTGCTATACAACAAAACTATAGAAATGTTTCAACTAGTAAAATAGAAAAAGATCGAATTTTAAATTTTTCGAACAAAAAATTTTAAAAAAGTTGGTTTTATGCACGGCTGACAGAAATACACATTTGATTTTAACATGTTTGCTAATTTTGTATGATGTTTTCCAAAATGTATACTTCTTATATAATCACATACATATCTATATATTTTTCATGTGTATACTATATTAATTAACTTATATGCTTCATAGTTCATTAAAATTACTGTGTGTGTGAATTCTTTTTTTATTAAAAGTCCATATAATTTTTTTTAGGCACGTATGTGATTATAGTTTTATATATTAGGAAATATTTTCACATTGTTAGTAACCCAGCATTTACACGTACAAGATACTTGCAAGAAAGTTGCAATACATACAAAAATTTTACTAACACATTGAAATATTTCTACTTGCTTGTTTACTTGCAATTTCAACTTGCAAGAAAATTTTGCTGCCAGTAATTTGAGCAAGTAATTTGACATATTGAGAAATTCACAAAAAAAAATTTGTTGTTTTGATTTTTTTTTTTTTTTAATTTAAAATTTTTGAATTTTGTTTTGAAAAAATTAAACTTAGCAAACTTATGGTTTCTAAAATTTATAAATAATTATATATATTGCTAGTTGTTTTCTTCTCAAAGACATTTTCAAAAATTAACTTGCTAAACGCCTACGTCATAATAGCAAGTAATTTGACATTTCGAAAAACTAATTGACAATTAATATTATACAAACTTGCATGCAAGTAACTTGTATGTGTAAATGCTGGGTAAGTCTAATTCACTGGTTTACTTAAACTACTGCATCAGAAATTTTAAAACTTATACAAATTTCTTTATATTTTTATTATGTTTTATTTTATATAGGGGACAACTTGAAAGGACACATTTTTTATAATGATTGTAATATTATAAAATCACTTTCATAATTATAAAACTTAAAATCAAATAATTACAAACTTAAATTAAAATCTAATAAAATTTTTATTAATTTTATTTAAGGTCGTATATTTTAGACTTAAAAATATAGCACCAAAATTTTTTTTATTCACTGTATCATCATTTTTCCTCTCAATTCTCTCAGATATATTGTCTGACATGGCGGTACAAAAAAATGAGGCAAAAACTCGAAAATATATTTAATCAAAATTATAGTTAAAATTTTCAGTTGAAATTTGAATTTTTGATATGTAGTTCAGAAAATACCAAATTTAATGTTAGTATAAAAATTTTTAGGCTTTAGTCAAATTTTCGTATAGAAAACTCGAAATGAAAATAGGCAAAAATCATAATTTTTCTAAAAAAAACAACAAAAAAAATGAGTTTTCAGAAATGTCATTTCTCCAAAATTTTACAAATGTATTCACAAAAAAAGCAAGGTCCAGGCTTTAATTTTTTGTAATGTTTTATGGGATATTTCTGATGTAAAACAAATTCCTTTACAGCTTCGATAAGAAAACGTGTAAATTCGTCTACTGTGAACTGTCACTCTCTCTTAGGGTCAAGACTCCACACTTGTGTTGCTTTCAACCAATCAACTATCAAATATTGCAATACATTTACAAAAAGCAGTGTTTGTTTTGGAAATATTAAATCATAATTTCACGTGGAAATTTAGATGATCCTTCAATTAAATTTTTTAAATACAAATATTCTAATTATTTCACTTGCAGCAAATGGTTTTTAAACGTGGAGCTCTAATTGTATTAGAAGGATGTGATCGATGCGGCAAGACAACGCAATCTAAGAAAATTTATGAATATTTGGTAAACAATGGTATTAAATGCAGACATCTTTCATTTCCTGCTCGAAATACGCCCATAGGGTCGATAATTAATTCCTATTTGGCTAAAAACCTTGAAATATCCGATGAAAGTATTCATCTTCTATTCTCAGCAAATCGATGGGAGCTCAACAAGGAAATAAAAGATTCCATTCAAAATGGCACAAATTTAATTGTGGACAGATATTCGTACTCGGGAATTGCATTTAGTACTGCCAAAGGTTTAGATTATGAGTGGTGTAAAGCACCAGAGGTCGGTTTATTAAAACCGGATTTAGTGATTTATTTGAACACAAATCCAGAAATCCTAGCCAATCGTGGTAATTATGGTGAAGAAAGATATGAGAAAGTTGAACTGCAAAATAGTGTAAAAAATGTGTATAATAAAATGATAAAAGAACAAGGTACAAATTGGTTACATGTTGATGCAGACGACAGTGTCGAAAATGTGTTCAAAATATTAATTGAAAAAGTTCTTGTCACGATTGATGAAGCTGCAAGCAAACCAACTGAATTGATATGATAATCTAGTAATTCCATTAGATATGTATTTCCTTTAACATAATTTTCAAAAAAAATTATTAAAATTATTGTATTCACGTAATCGTAAAATTATTATATAAATTATGAAATGTACATAATGCATTTATTAAAATGGATATAAAATTAAAACTTTTAGAACAAAAAGAAAATGTTTAGACAATAAATTTTTTTAGATAAATGACGTAAGCTAAATACTAAGTTTTTAAAAATTAATATTTTTACCATGTACTTTTTTAAATTGTAATAAATGCAGCATATTCGGCTAAAGTGTTAAATGAACTTAAGATTAAAAGTATTCCTGACTTCAATTGTGCAGACACATGCGTTCTAACCGCGACATTACTACGTTTGACTACAATCTAGATATTGAATGGAAATCGCTTGATTTGATAGAGGACATTTCGTAAAAGCATTGTGTTTTTATATAATAAGTATTGAACTAAAATGTTTTTGAAAATCACAAAATTTTGTGCGTACAGAAAACCTCTCCTCAAGATGTGCGATACATGCACCTCTTCTATTACTTATAAAGGGTATATAATAATATAGAAGTACCCTAATAGTCTAAAAGAGATATTACCCAATATAATAGACATATGACATAATAAATTTTGTATAAGAAAGTTTTTAAATGAAATAAATAATAAAATGTTGATCGAATTTCTCTTTATGTACATTATTAATGTATGTATGTACATATTTTAATAAAATAAATATTGTATATATACTTACTATATCTACAGATGTAGTATATAAATTGTAAAATTCCAGTAATTTAATAAGTTATGTTAGTTTGATTTATTTAATATTTGTTTAGTGTTGTTAAAACAAGTTAGTTAATATGTCTAAGTTCTAAACATTTGTGGTATTCTTACTATTAAATAATTTTTACCCAACTTGCTATAAATTTATAAAAATAAACTGTTGTTTTTTTTTAAATTTTAATGGCAAATTTAATGAAACACGTTGCGGAATCTAGAAATTTTCTGAAATACAAATTTTCAACAAACAATTACAAATCCATAAATGGCTCAAAATTATGTTAAAAAAACTGACATACGATTCCTTAAGAGATCCATTTTAAATCTATTATGTACACAATTTGCAATTTTTAAAAATAAATACTTCGAATTCTTTTTGTACAATATAATTATTAACTTTGCTTACAAAATTAAAACATCGTACATATTTACTTTAAATTTCATGGTCCATATATTTTTTATAACGTGGATATTATAATGTCTTTATATCTAACAGACATAGTTATATGACATGTTATATGTATATTATATAACATATTAGATAGTTATATAATATGTTAGATATAAAGACATTAGATATTATAATGTTCACATGTATGTTTGTATGTATGTATATAGAAATATTTTAAATCGAAAAATTCAAAGCCGCTCTTATCATTTATTTTAAACAGTAGTTCTATGTTTGCTTTTCAAATATCATGATAAAATGGATGACAAAAACAACTTGATATGTACTTACTTAACAAATACAAATTTTAAATTTTTGGCTTGAGAAAAGAATTATCAATATTTATCATATTTTTTGTATGTAGCTAGATGTAAGTTATACTGATTTTACTTGAATATCTAGTTGTAGTCTATTATTATTAGTATAAAAGCTATTATTATTAGTATAAAAGTTGTAGACTATTAGTATATTAAAAAGCTTTAAAATAATAACAAAAGCAGAAAATTTAGAAGATGCTCGTAAAAAACATCCTAGTAACAAATGTACTTAAAAGAAAGTTTTGCAACTTTTGAGGTTTTTCCTCCTTGCGACTTTAAGGACTTCTTTGAAACAACATGAAATTTAGAATTTTTTTTTATTAATTTCTTCCCTTGGAAAATTTTTGTAACAAAATTTTGCAGTATACCATAAAACTTCTATAACATACACCAAAGTTCTTTGAAGTAATCAAAGAAAAAATTGATAACAATTCATTAAGTTGGATAAATAATAAAATAAAGAAAGAAAACCTTAAAAGGCCTTATCAAAACCTTGAAAAAAAACAAAACAATTTATTGAAAATAAGTATTCTAAGAAAATAAAATTAAAATTTTGAACAATTACGTAACGTATACTAAAAATAATTGATTAAGTTTGTTTTATAATATCTATGTATGTATATAGTTTCCTTTGATAAAGCTATATTTCAATTATAACTTACGAACAATGTTATTTATTGAAAAAGAGTAATAATGTGAAAAGAAAAAAAGAAAAGTGTATTGCAGAATCCATATTAAATATAAGTTTTGAAACTAGAAATTTGCGTAGTGGCAAAAATGATGTATACATCACTTTTCACAATTTACCTTGTTAAGAATATGTGAATGTTCCAACGAAAATAAACTTTTTTTGAAGTATTTTTTGCGTCGTATCTTAACAACACAATAGTCACAACTGTTAAACTTAACGGTTCATTAGGTCATTAAAAACATATGTACATTGTATGTATGTACCTACATATTTTATTTTGTTAAGCTTTACTTGGAAGAGTTAAGAAACAGAAGACAAGTTTATAAATTGTAAAAAAATTTTATTCATATTTTTTTAGAATTAAATACATACATACATACATATTTAGATATTAGAATTAGAACAATAACAATTTCAGAAATATTAGAAATTTCCATTGTTTTTGGTATATGTATTAAATTTCTGAAATAATTTTTTCTTTCAAAAAGGCAATAAATTTTTTCTTGTAAAATTTATATTCCCTTGTTCATTTATATTAGATTTTTTGCATGAGCTTAGAGTAATATCACATGGCTTTAGAGTAAGGTATCACTTAAAATATGTATTAATAAAATTGAATCTTCATAAAAAAAAGTTTTCAGTTGACCGAGCGAGTTTATCATCATTTATTGTTCAGTGTTCGTAGAATAAATAGATCTGGCTATGATATAAAGAAAATGTTTGACTTGTCGAATTTTAAAATTAAGAGTCATTTAATGCTAAGTAAAACAAATTTATGAATAAAATTCATAGAAATAAAAGCAAATGTCAATTATTAAAAAAAAAATTCAATTAATAGTTTTAATAAGAAGAAAACTTACTCATATATTTATAGTTATAAATATTAGAATTAATCTTATGCATAAAGCGCTATAATTTCTAAAACACTTACGTATCTATATACTACACAAATATATATATAAGTATACATTTTTTTTTTTACATATAAATACGTACACATATGCTAAGAGCTTTTTCACAGAAAAGCTAATTTAAATTTTACGATTTTCATTGTGATTATAATAATCGGGAATTGCAAAAATTTTAAATTGATATTTTAATTGTTATTTAGGTACCATTGGATGTTTCGCGATACTGCATTAATTAGAAAAAAAAAAACACTTACATAATATTGTGTAAATAATATTATAATATACTGTGAATGTTTATTTTAAGTCTCAAACATGTTTAAGTTTCGGTATAATTTCAATTAAGTATAAGTATAAAAAATGTTGTAAAATTTAAAGTGAAATTTATACGTAAATATACTAAAAGTATATTGAAAGTGTTTCAAATTTTTAGAAAGTAAAAATTTTAAAATTTCCTGAATTAAAAAAATATAGGTAGTATGTTTTGCGGTTTTGTTTTTAATTTTAAAAATATGAAATCAAATATTTAATATTATCACAAGCCGATGGGATAAAATTATAATATGTATTGTGTAGGTAAGCTTTCACATTTCAAATTTGAATATTTGCATATTTTTCAGTTCAATAAAATCTTCATTGATAATAGCAAAAAAAAAGAAACAACTGAAATTTATTTGAATTCGATATTTAGTTTTGGTTTTGACTTTGAAAAAATTATTTTAAAACGAAAATTTTATCCAATTTTATAATATTTTAATGTTATAAAATGAATAAGTATAATTAATAATGAATAAGTAAAACTCTTTTTTGCATTCATTTTCGGTCAAGGTCACTGTTGTGATAAAAACTTTAAAATTTCTAAAGTGTCATCCCAAAAAAATATTTCTGACCAAAATTTGGATGTGAAGACAGTGTTTGTTCAATTGTATTTATGTTTTTTTTTTAAAATTGCATTCATACATATATATTATGTATACAATACAGTGTAAATATCTATAACTTAATTTGTACTGCAGTTGTTATTATGTAGTTTGAACTTTTTTGATTTCATTTTTACGACTGCTCTCATAGACTTTTATCTCAAAATTAAAAAAAATAATCAACAAAAAAATCAATTTATTTATGAATTTTCGTTTATAAATCATGAGTTTCACTTCTGTGCAGCATCTTATAATACGATATTAGCACAAACAGTACACATATTTTTATGCTGTATATACTGATACTATGTAAATTTTTCTATATAGTTTAACAATAATTTAAAACTTTTAAAATTTTTAATTTTGTTACTTAACTTGAATTATATTTTATGAGTTTACATTGGTTTTATGTTGCAACATTATTAGAAATAAAATAAAAAATCCATAGAAAGATAGAGAAACGTAGAGGTAAACTATATCAAAAATATCGAAATAGTATATTACCGTTTGATTGGTTCTATTATTTTTCTTACGGAATCATTAATAAATATATCGCTAGAATTCGATTGTTTACAAAGCCTTAGCAAGTTCGACGGCTCACAAATAACCATATACAGTTGGAATTTCCGGATTTACGTTAAGTTAGCCTTATTTTAATTAAAAATGCTTTTATAAATTATATTATAATTGCTTTTCTCGACGGTCTACAGCGCATATTGACATAGTTCAGGTTCATAGCAATGACATCACTTATCTTGGAACCTGACGATTGATGTAACCAGACAAATGTAATACATGCATACATGGGTTTATTTATATAATATTTTGTTTTCAAGAAATGAAGGTGGGTATAAAAACATATAAAGAAAATATGTTTATTACGTTTTAATGAAAGAGTTTGCAAAAATATTGAACAAATTTAGTCAACATAAAACAAAAATATTATACATGTATGAAGTTTAAATATAAGTTTGCATTTTTTTACTATTTATTTTTAAAATTTCATTAAAATTCTGTTGAGTGTCCACGTTTTAAAACCGCATATATGTACTTAAACCATATAACTTGATTTTTGTAAACAAATCTTATCCATATACATACATATGTAAAATTATTTCTTCAATATATTGCACTCTCAAATTTAGTACATTTTGAAAATTATAATTGTAAAGAAATAGAAAATTTGAAGTTTGTTGATATCAAAGCTAC